TGCGATCGCGCGACCCTGCCCGTGAGCAATCTCCCAACTCATCTCTGCCAGCAACTGGCGATCCGCCTGCCGGGCCGCAATCCCCGGCCGTGACGCCGTGACCCGACTCCGTGATTGGACGACGTCACCGGCCCGATAAAGGACCGTGGTTGGTCGATTTTTTTCGGAGGAAGCGGACTTCAGTCTAAAGATTTCACATTTTCACTTGAGGTGTCGGGTGAATAAACTCACATGAGATGACAGTTCGTGAAGTAAGCACTCTCGCCAAAGTTACGAAATCTGCCCTCTTATGGCGCCAAGGATTGACCGCGACTCGTAATAGTTTAAGAACATTTACAAAATGGAATTAACTTTATTTTCTTAATAAGAAATGGCTGCGCAAGGAAGTAGTAATCAAGCAACAGATTTCTGTTTGAAGGAAAACTTTCTGGCCGCTTTTGAAACAATAAAATTCTCAAGTGTCGGGACTCTTGAGGATCCGTCAGATGTTGAACGAAGACTTCTAGCTTATAAATACATGGTTGCAACGAAATTGTTAGTAGATTCAAAGTTCATAATATTTATTTACAAGTCCAATTTTAGATCTGAATGGAGAAATACTTACGGTAGTAAGTATATTGATAAATGAAAGGGTTATGCGATTAGATTAATTTATTTATCATTTTCTGTTGCAGCGATTCAAAGGAGACTGCAGCGACTCTACTCAAAAGAGGTCTGGAATCATACCAAAGTCCATTAATATCTGGAACTGACATTGGCAGCTACTTTCAACGAATAAAGGTAATTCTTCCACATCTCGATAACGGTCCAATCAAATGGAAATCAGCTTTATCCGATGCTGGATCGGTACTTCAAACACAGGACCATTTAAAATGTAGTACTAAGGATAACAAACTCTGTGAAGAACAATATTCTAACAAGCAAATAGAGAATTTGGTTAATTCTTGGAAAGGTAAAAGTCATTCGCTTCAATTTAAACCAAGGTGTAGCAATAAAAAGCTTCAACAAGATACTGAGAATAATAGTGACGATGAAGAAGAAAGGAAGCCTATTGAAAGGACTTATAATTCTCGGCATACAAACGTCAAACGTAAGCGTGCTGGATTTCAGTATTTTAGGCCTGAACGTAGTACAAGTCCTGAGAATGTGCAGGAAGACAAGGAATTAAGCAAATCGGAAGACATTTATAGAGGTTCCAGTTCGCGAACGTTTGATACAAAAAATTATGGCTCATCGTGGAATAAAGAGGATGAAGAGAAGCATACGGCCAAATTTCTTGGATTCAGGTCAGCTCGAGCTGAATTCCAGTCTCAGCAACTTAAATCAAACAAACCACAGCAGAAAAAGACGCTTGGAGGTCGAGGTTCCGTTAACTCTAAGTTTGTTTGTCCATTAAAACGGGAAAATAACGAACCATCAACATTTGAAGGTTCCAAGGCCAATGAGGCAATGGATGTCGAAGATGAACGATTAAAAAACATAGATCCAAAAATGATAGAGCTAATTCGTAATGAAATCATGGACAGTGGAGTGCCAATTACCTGGGACGACATAGCAGGTCTAGAATATGCAAAAAAGACTATAAAAGAAATTATAGTCTTTCCAATGCTGAGGCCTGATATTTTTACTGGATTGAGAAGACCCCCGAAAGGGGTTTTATTATTCGGACCACCAGGAACTGGAAAAACTTTAATCGGCAAATGTATTGCTTCGCAAAGTAAATCCACTTTCTTCTCGATCTCTGCAAGCTCGCTAACTTCAAAATGGATTGGCGAGGGTGAAAAGATGGTTCGGGCATTATTTGCAGTCGCCAGAGTACATCAGCCATCCGTAGTTTTTATCGATGAAATCGATTCACTATTGACTCAAAGATCGGAAACCGAGCACGAAAGCTCTCGAAGAATTAAAACAGAATTTTTAGTGCAGCTTGACGGTGCAGCAACTGCGGAGGAGGATCGAATCCTGGTAGTAGGAGCAACGAATCGACCCCAGGAATTAGACGAAGCGGCTCGTAGGAGACTTATTAAAAGGCTTTATGTTCCATTGCCAGAGCTTGAAGCTCGTAAACAAATAATTGTTAATCTTTTGTCCTCCGAGAGGCATAGTTTAACTACTAGGGATATCGAAGAGATCGCTGAGTTATCTAAAGGATATTCAGGTGCTGACATGACAAACTTGTGCAAAGAGGCTAGTATGGGTCCAATTCGTAGCATACCCTTTAATCTGTTGGAAAATATTAAGAAAGAAGATGTTAGGGAAGTAACAGTGGAAGACTTTAAACAGGCATTGACGTATGTTCGATCAAGTGTTTCGCAAGCTGACTTATCGATCTATGTTGAGTGGGACCGCACTTATGGAACTGGAACAGCTCAAAATTACACTTTGTAATACCATTTGAAAATATAATTTTTTATATTAATGTGAAGTATTCAGTATCAAATATCACACAGTAGACAATGTATCTTCATTAAGAAACATTAGTTAAAATTAACGTGAAACCCTTTATCTTATATAAATAAAAACTATTATTTATGACACTGGGTATACGAAGAAAGTTCTTTTACATGGCTACAAGAATATCACACGAGATTTATGTACATATAAGAACTAATGATTTAAACACTCTGGCCTTTTAAAACATAAGACCTAACAGATTTTTGTAATATGTACGGCAGTCTCGCTTGCTGCAATTAAATACTGCTCATTCTGGTAATATGTAATATCTAATGCAATTATTGCGTTATCTCCCAAAACTAAACTCTTAGAGTCTATTGAATTGAAATCTAACTCTTCCAAATAATTAGCATCGCCTACATGAAACACATGTACTTCACCTGCGATAAAGTTAATTTAATTAATAATTAGAAAGAAATTACTCTATATTTAACCAAGCTTTACCTGAATCAATTCCTATAATGAAAAGCTCCAGGTAAAAGAGAATAGCTGTTGGTACTCCATGTAAAAGTGAAAAAATATTATATATCTTCCATGGTTTGTGACCTGCAGATATTCCAAGGGTTCCGATTCCTGCAAATATATCAAAATCAAAGTTTGATACATTAGAAAATAATCACGTATCAAAAACCTGTAACTGTACCTGTAATGCAAACAGCAATTTCTGGTTTAAATAAGTAGTATCGGCGCACACTTGTGTTAGGTGGCTGAACAAATTTTCGGGCTCCGATCTCTATGGCATGATTTGCTTCTACCTTAATTCGGTAACCTTTTTCCGTCAAGAGAGTTACCTATGTTGTGAAGTAAATGTCTGTTAAAATCTGAATCTTTAATTTGTCCTAATTAGCTTACACTCCAAGTTGCAGAAATTAACATTTTTATTACCTTATTCTCATCTGCTAGTAAAGCAACAAAGTCATCGACGTCGCATTCATAGCAACTCCTCTGTATTCTCCATTCGGCAAGCAAAGAATTGTTTGCGACAGTATAACAGTAACCACAACTTGTGCTAAATAAATATTTGACCAACTTCATGTTGAAAGAATGAAACTTGTTGGGAGTAGATTACAGACTATGTCTTGTGGCATCAACGATCCTGCTCATCTAAGTGCACGAACATTTGTCAGGTCTTTGATTTCCACTCGACTGAAATCTTACCTTATCAAACTACCACTGTACATCTGAACCAGTCGTTTCTTAGATCCAACGTCCCAGAACCTTACTTTCTTATGGATCGATGACGATACAGCAATGATATCACATTCTGCTGAATAGCAAAACACAGATTATTTTTACATCATCAAAAATCAGTAGTAATCTACAAAATGTATTGCAATAATAATCTGCTGCATAAAAAATACCATTTGTAAAAAGATGTAAGTCGCACACGCATTCAGCTTGGTCTGCAATGAATATTGGCTTTTTCTCACTACTAGATATATCGTAGAATCTGATGTATCCTTCGATACTTCCCACACCCAATATATTCTCTATAAACATTTTAACGAGTTAATAAAAATGTACCTGTAATAATGTAACACTTGATAATATCAGGGAATACCTAAAGTTGCAACACACGTAATCTGCTCCATTGGCTGCAATTCGGGAGACAAATTGATTCGATCTATAGATGCGTCTCGCTTTGTGAATTGTCGCCACTTAATCCAGGATCGATACATCTGCACCCACATACAAGAGTCCATTCGCAATTGTTCTATATTATTGTGATATAATTTCGGTCTTAACTTTTCCAATATCGCACTCCACAAATACTTTGGAATACCCTTTTTGCACATCCTATACCACGCATCGGAATTCTGAAACATATCCCAGATTATCACGTACGAAGTATAAAGTTTAGTAAACCATAATCAACGACATAGCATTCAAATTGGAAGACGGTACTAAATTAACTACATCTATATTTGCTTAATTAAACCACCCGTAATCTAAGCGTTCAGAGATACAAAGGATATACCGTCAAAACTTCTTCTATAACTCCATTCCACATATGGCAAACTCGACGCAGTCTCGTAAGAGTAACCGCATCGCAGTATTGAAATATAATCTGCCAAATCTCAACAGGAAATATCATCTTAAATATCCGTACACCAGCAGCCTCATTAACACTTTTCCGAGGTAACAATGCAACAATCGCAGCAGCGGGAAACTTGAACAATAAAATACTAGTTCAGAATTAATAAGCCCTCCTTACGATCCGCGGTCATTCCCCAAACTTGATCCAAAAGACCGGACCAATCACAATTCAGTTACAGAAGAATTATCGAATCAGCGCAGCATCCCGCCAATGAGAGCGATCAGGGCGTTTATTACGTATTTTTGACGAGAGCGCTCACTTCTCGCACTTTCATCTCACGTGGGTTTATTCGCCGAATTACGTATTCGCAATATGAACGAACGAAATCACTAGCACTTCCGATCTAGTAATATTAAGTCTAGTAATATTAAGTAAAGGTACATAAAATAAAGGTACATACCTTGTAAATCGAAAATTGAGAGGTAGTAGGTTATAGGCAGGAAAGGCGGGAAGATGGAAAGCCGTTAAAAGTAAAGAAGAGGACTCGAGACTATCTATATTTTTTAAATATGTATTACATTCATATTTACATGTACTATAATTAGAAGTTCAACAATATAATTTTCTTATCATGTCGTGTAAGCATGAATTATTTACCAGTTTTCAATGCTTAATAAGGTAATATAACCTCGCAATAACAGAAACTAATATATACATCCTAGTAAATTCTCTTTCTTCTAGCGAAAATGGATCCGAGGCATCACGTAATTCCTTTCTTCTTCTAATAAGGATATTATTACATCCTCGAATACGATTGTTGGCAAAAATCAAAACACCCAGGAGGTTTTCCACTTTGAATTTCGGTATTACAATCCGTGGACGAGGGCGTTCACCGTGTATATTTTTCAATCTTTCCTTGTATACTTTCCCATCTCGCTTAAAAATTACTCCCGAGCCATTTCACACGAATGGCATATTCACCCCCAAAAGCGTTCCGTAATACCATGGGCTACTCACTTTTTACATTTTCGCTCAAAATCTGCTTTACGTAATAGATCCCCGCTTACTGAAAATCTAGGAGTGGGGGGTGCAACGCGAGGTCTAGATATATATATGGTCTAAGGCGCGCACTCGGCCGGCAGAGCGGAGGGGGCGCCTCGGTCTCGTCTCGGTAGGCGGTCCGCCGTGGCCAGGCCAGGCCACGGAGTGGGAAGAGGGCAAGAGGTTTGACTTTAGACCAGTCATCGGCCGCCAGTACCGCCAGTACTCGTCCATCCGGCCGTCCAAGCGCGTCTCGCCGCCGTCCTAGCTCGCAGTCGGAGCCCGAACCTCAGCCGTCGCCTCCCAGGCGGAGAGTGGAAAGGTGTCCGCGCGTGCGGTGCCTCCGGTCAGTTGCGCGGCCCTCCGGCCGGCCGGCCGAAACCGAGTTAACCCGCCTCCAAGATCGGCGAGTGCCGCGCACGCCGCAGGCGGGTCGTCGTAGCAGCTCGCCCCGCGGGTCCGCTCGACGGGAATTATGTGGGATACCCTCGCGGGACCGAGATCGGCCACGAGTCAAGTCAGCTGACATATTGCGCCCTGCTACGCCGCAGCTCCCGCCAGGTGAGTGTCGCAATCCCCCCCCTCTGCCTACCCACAGGAGCAAGACGCGCCTGCCCCTTTTCGAGCACTATTTTCGACGAGGATATCTCCCACCGAGAGATTCACTCGATCGATCGATCCGATCGAGGGACACGACGCGGCCACCGCCCGACCTAACCTCCAAGCGCCGGGAACGTTCTCGCAAGCGATGGACAAAGGAACAGACCGGAACGCGAGATATGGGAACGGCGCAATTTCGGAACGAATTACGTGTCTCTGCTCCGGTCCCGGATCGCTCCCCACCCTCCTCTACGCTCTCCGGATCGCGGCCGATCCCCGATCTACTCTCTCGCTAGGGCCGGCCCACGTACGGCCGGAAAGCCCGCGGTCACACTGAGCGCGGCGGGTGGCGCGTCACTGCGTCAGGGGGCGCGCGCAGCGCCGCGCGACGCGGCAGCGCGGCGCGTCGACGCGGCGAGGGTCTCACTGGACGCGGTGCGGGAACGCGTCCAGGATGGAAATCGCTGCGTGGCCGCCACGCGCGATGGAAGTGAAACTTCTACGGCTAAGAGAGTTAGATGCTGTTAACATCGGGCGTGGTTATTTCTCTCCCGGTTATTTCTGTTGTTCTTATCGTTTTTATCTTATTGCACCCGGAAATTCATTGAGAATGTAGCGCGGTAGTGGGGATGTTTATGCGAATCGTTTCGGTAGGACGGATGGAGAGGAATGGGTAATAGTCCCCTTTTTTGAGGTTTTTCACGTATATTATGTTAACAAAGTTGTTTACCGGGGAAAATTGTAGAAAACGGTAAATTACGTTCACAATGTGAAGAATGCCGCGGATGGATGTATACGGCTTCTGCTGGGGTTTAAATGTCCTTTAGCGCACATATGAACACGTAAAAATTGTTAAGAAATAATTTTCAATTCATTAATTTTCAGTATTCAAAATTGTTTAGGATTTTACGTTTTCAATGTGTTGAATTTCACGGATGCATGATATATGCATTTGCGGGGTTAACGTCTTTTAGCGCACGTATGAACGCATAAAAATTGTTAAGAAATAATTAATTTGCCGTTTGTATTCAAAATTATTTAGGATTTTATGTTTTCATTATGTTGAATTTCACGGATGCATGATATATGCATTTGCGGGGTTAACGTCTTTTAGCGCACATATGAACGCGTAAAAATTGTTAAGAAATAATTAATTTGCTATTTGTATTCAAAATTGTTTAGGATTGTACGTTTTCATTATGCTGGATTCCATGGATGCATGATATATGTATTCGCGAGGTTAACGTCTTTTAGCGCACATATAAACGTGTAAAAATTGTTAAGAAATAATTAAATTGCCGTTTGTATTGAAATTCTTTCAACTTAACCTTGTTTAATATGAAATTTCTCATTGGATTTCTTATTTTCTATTTAAAAAGAGGAGGGCGTAATGTGCTATGCGCTCGCTTAGAAAACTAGGGACGTATTATACTTACCCAACCCTGGGAGTGAAGGGGAAAAATGAAATTTACGTAGACTGTGTTAGTAAAATCCAAAGATGGGGGTAATTCGTAATTAACCGTGGAGAGAAGAAAAAGCGTTTCAGTTTCTTAATGGGGTCACTTTCGAGGAAAATGCGAACTTATTAAGTGCAATTTGTAAATTATAACACGTTGTGCCGGGAGTTTCGCTTCTAAGCCAATCGGAACTTCGACGGGAGCGACGCACGTGGTTAATCCTTTGAAGACGGAGCCATTTCGACATATGGGCGAAATTCGTCTGACCGTGCAGGCAATATTGGACCAAACGTTGGGCGCCTTTAGGCGCTCTTAGGAGCCAAGGGTTAAATATTGAAAAACAAACATAAATGAAAGATTCGTTCGATATTGTAAGTCGCAGTTCCTGTTTACATAAATTGTTTCAACGTTCTTCCTGGTTATATATTACGACCATGTTTAATATCATAATATTGGTCCATTATGCCAATGTTGGCCAATATGTAGCTAATAATTTGCAGATCTTGAAATTTATTTCTATTTTAACCCTTTGGACACGGAGCCATTTCGACATATGGGCGAAACTCGTCTGACCGTGCAAGCGATATTGGACCAAACGTCGGGCGCCTTTACGCGCTCTTAGTAGCCGAAGAGTGAAGGCTGCCACGAGGTTGCCGGTGTTTTTCTAAAGCCACGATGCTGCCGAATAATTATACAGAGTGGGGGCGATCGCTGTTTGATATCAGTTCTTTAACCCTTCGAACACGGAGCCATTTTGACATATGGGCGAAACTCGTCTGACCGAGCAGGCAATATTGGACCAAACGTCGGGCTCCATTAGGCGCTCTTAGGAGCCAAAGCGTTAAACTCCATTCTGATTGGCTGTTCATCGTCGACGCGGGGACGCGTCGCGTTCTGTGCGACGCCAAGCATCGACGGTCCTAGGAAAATTAGAGTATAGGCGAGAAACTCAGTTAGGGTTAGGGTGGAAGTATAAGCCACGCTTCGGAGAGGGGGGGAACGACGAAATCGGAGCTCTCGTCGCTTCCGGATTTTGCGCACACTCGGAAGGGACCTTGATCTCGATCGAGAAACCTCGCCAACGGGAATCCGGGATCTTGGCGGAGATTCGGACCTCCTCCTTCTCTCGTCTTCTTTTTTTTTTCTTTTTTTTTTTTCGGTTGGGTTAGGTTAGGTAGCAGTCGCCCGCGGTGACGGGGAGGGGTGAACGGCCCGATTGTTGACACCTGCGAGGAAATATTCTACTTGTCTCGTTGGTTCGTCCCTGTCTACTCTGTACGGGGTTTTAAGGGGATGTGAAAGTGGCGTCGAAGAGGTTTTGTTTATAAAACTTTTCTCCCAACGCGGTTTACCGAATAGTTTGAAACTTTACTGCGCGAATAGGGAGACTACAAGGAGGGTCCTGAAACTCGTGGAATTTCAATTCTTTTCAAATTTGTTTATAGGTATTTTAAAAATAGTTTATAAAAAATGAAATTTCGCGAGTTTCAGGACCTACCTTAGGATAACTTAGTTGTCCAGGGTTATAATTCCAGGGTATGTACCCATCGACCTCTGGTACTGTGCTAACTACTCTTATTCTTACCGGCGAGAAATGAAAGGACAATTGAAGAGATAGAAATAACCACTGGTAGGGCCGATTCGAATTGTCGACCGACCAGGTTCAAAAGAAAATTCGCCGCCCTTATTGATTTAATTTAACATTATTCAAGAATTCGATACGCAGGATCTACGCGTATATCTGCATATACATCATTTAAAACAATTACCATACAAAAGAAATATTTTTCATATATTGTGTTTATTGATCAGTTTTATACCTTATTATTATTAAACATATAATCTATTATTATTATTAATATTATTGTTATTGTTATTATTGTAGAAATGTGCAATTTGGGTGGTTTGTAACATAGATGCTCGTTAAAGAAGGATTTTTTGAAATTCAATCCCTAAGAGGGTGAAAAGGGGGAAAGGAGCCAGTTCGACATACGGGCGAAATTCGTCTGACCGTGCAGGCAATATTGAACCAAACGTCGGGCGCCTTTAGGCGCTCTTAGTAGCCAAAGGGTTAAGGCTGTCACGAGGTTGCCGGTGTTTTTCGAAAGCCACGATACTGCCGAATAATTATACAGAGTGGGGGCGACCGCTGTTTGATATAAGTTCTTTAACCCTTCGAACACGGAGCCATTTCGACATATGGGCGAAATTCGTCTGACCGTGCAGGCAATATTGGACCAAACGTCGGGCGCCTTCAGGCGCTCTTAGTAGCCAAAATGTTAATAATCGGTTTGCGGCACCTTTTGCATCCTTTCACCTGATCGTAAAATCTCCGTTTCTCTCTAAATTGTACGCGTACGCTACTGTGGAAGAGAAAGACGGCGTCGTTACTTAAGACGGATCTCCTCTTTCTCTATTCTGAAACGGAAAGCAACTAGGGATAGTTTGTTACTATAAGTCGATGGGTGTACCGAAAGTCTCGGGGCGCGCGGTAATGTCCTCGTTATCGAGACCCCGAGGAAAGTGTCCTTGAACGGCGCGCGCGACACTTTCGGGGCACGGGTAATTGCATTTGCCGCGAGGCAAGGCCGGAGACACGATGCTTCTTGAATGCCGGACGTTGGGCGATTCATTCGCGGGCATTCTTCTCGTATTTTTTTTTTTTTTTTTTCCCCTCTGAATGGCCGCGGAAGTTTCAAGCGGCGCTTGTCGATCGCTCGCCGAAACCTTTGCAGGCCTGTAATTCCGCCTTCGGTCGGGCCGATGGGAATTCAAATTGTACTCGGAATTTAGGCGCGTAAAGGTGAACATACATGTAACGATAAGTAGTAGCGATTCGTAACTTCGGTAATTCATGTTAGCTCTCCTAAAGGTGGCCGCATACGTAACGATAAGTCGTGGCGATTCGTAGTTTGGGTAACTAATTCGAGTTCTTCCAAAGGTGGCCGCACACGTAACGATACATCGTAGCGATTTGTAATTTGGGTAATTAATTCGAGTTTTTCTAAAGGTCGCTTTTCGAGTTACGATAAACTGGAGCGATTTGTAATTTCGATAATTAATTCGAGTTCTTCGAAAGGTGGCCGCGCACGTAACGATACATCGTAGCGACTTGTAATTTGGGTAATTAATTCGAGTTTTTCTAAAGGTGGCTTTTCGAGTAACGATAAATCGTGGCGATTCGTAATTTGGGTAATTAATTCGAATTTTTCTAAAGGTGACTTTTAGAGTTACGATAAAATGGAGCGATTTGTAATTTGGGTAATTAATTCCAGTTCTTCCAAATATGGTTTCTCGAGTAACGATAAATCGTGGCGATTCGTAATTTGGGTAATTTAATTCGAGTTCTTCTAAAGGTGACGATAAATCGCACCGATTTTTAATATATACAATTAAAGTCAAGAGTTCTCCCGAAGGTGACGACACCCGTTACGATAAATCGCAGCGATTTGTAATCAGTGGGATTAAATCGAATTATATACAGCGTTCACCGGGCAGTTGGAT